AGAGCCACCAATTTGAGTTGTTGAGGACTTTACTCTTACCTATACAATCGTTCTCCGTTCTTCTCGAACAATTATCTGCACTGCCGGAATGGCCTTTTGATGTAGTTCGATGGGCTCCTTTTAGGATTTTTTGGAGTCAACGCATTTACGGCGTAATGGCCATCTTTTTAACGACCGGCAGTACTTTTAAACATTCTTTGATTTCCGAATTGAGCTCCCTCTGCATTTCGGATTCGCATGTGGAACTGTCAAAACCAGCTTAACGATAAGACTGTTAGGCGAGTTTTTAACTACCACGGTATGCGTAGAATCCGTTGTGTATGTTGACCAATATCGCACGCGTAAACAAATGTCTGTTGTCAAGTTGTTATTTGTCTTTGAACAGATCGCGATTGGAATATCTTCGTGCCCGGGTTTCCATCCGCCGAGAAGACCTGGAAGCGGCCCTTCGTGTTGGCGGCTCATAAGCAACGATTGGCTATTGCAAAAAAACAACTCAAGCGCACATGAGGGGCGACAACGGCGCGAGATTCCGTGCTTCGGTTTCATAACTTGAAACTTCTGGGAGCTGGCCGGTAGCAAGCTGTACATTAGTGTTTTTCAAAGCTTCAGAACCACTATGATGTTTTATTACTTCACTATACTTATATAAATCATATTCCTTCTGCTGCCTGTAATCTACCTGGGATCTTTCGCCGGCACTTTGCGGCCTAGCTTTTTAGTATAAGTAATAAGAAGTAGCCAGGTCGAAGAACAGAAATAGATCGGGTAATAATCACGGGTTGAAAATTTCCCACTCGGGGTCGCTTATATAGAACTTAGTGTATCATTGTGCTGCAAGTAACGCGAAATTACCATTCGCGGAAAATCTTCTCCAAGCACAACCCCCTCCCTTTTGGGTGACACCTTTCTGCTCGAAGGCGCAGCTAGACGCACGGAATAACGTCAGAACTCTGAAACCCGGGAAGGTATGATTGGTGTGTATTACCTGGCTGAAATAACGTAGATTCATGAAGTGAATAATAGAGAAGCAGTGAAAAAATGCTAGGGGGAGGAATCAAGTGAGTACTGTGTTAAACATTCGGCTCTTTTAAGAAAGGAATGGACTCGTAAGAGGACATTGCAGTGGCTGGCTTTCGTCGATTGGATGAGTGGTGTTCAGGCGGCGCTGGGAAATTCCATCCGATCAACTTTGTGTTCGTCACCAACCAGACGGTACGTATAAAGATTGACCGAGGATTCCTGAATGTCAAGTAGCATGAAGGTTGGCTGTGGGGACCTAGAAGAGAAGGGGACACCGCTTGAGCTCGGTTATAACCCAGTGGTGTTGAGGATGCGCTTGAATGGATGTTGATAGGCCAGATTCAAGTTTTTCGAGCAAGCTTAATTAGTGACGGCACTAGCGTTCGGAATTGAATGTAGTTCATGTTAGATGCCAGTATAATGACATGAATTAGTTTGCCGCGACCTTTTGGTGCGTTTGTTTGAGGATG